ATTCAATGATGTATTAATTCAACGTTAACGAACTTGTGGGGCGTTGACAACATCCAGCGCTTGTCGATCAGATGAGTAATTTAGTTGAGATATGTACAAAGTATACAACTCTGCTACAACAGAGGATTTAACACGGCGGGAATTTCTGCTATAACATTTTTTTTCGATTTTATGCTTTTTTCGCTCGGCTGCGTTCATTTATTAGGAATTAACAGGACCATCCTTTTGAGATGGATATTTTTTTCAAATTAATTGAACAGAGGGAGAAATTTGTTGTCACTTGTTGTAAAAAAATTCGATACTACTTCAGTCAGGGTGTTCTACCTGATTCAGAGTTCTCCTCTTGCGAACACTAATATCCGGACTATGCGTCTGATTTTGAATCAGGTACATTCCCGCTATTGAGCCTGATGTTAACTAGTCCAGTCAAACTAGCTCTGAAAATGTCGTTTACATCGAAATTAACCAAAGGGCACCAAATTACACCAATCGATAGCTAAAAGTGTAATTATTAATGTTTTAAAAAGTATATGCTCAAATTTGCCGGGGTGATTCAATGTTACTGCAATGTTATTGTAATGATTTNCAGTCAAACTAGCTCTGAAAATGTCGTTTACATCGAAATTAACCAAAGGGCACCAAATTACACCAATCGATAGCTAAAAGTGTAATTATTAATGTTTTAAAAAGTATATGCTCAAATTTGCCGGGGTGATTCACAATTTGTTATAAACAATTGGGAATTGCCGACAGGCCGTCTTCAATCCTAGATATCTTTAGTTAACCTCATCAGATGGGAAAAAGAAAAATATTTCTTTGTAGCTGAGAAAATGTCCTATCGGGGGAGTTAGGAACCTATAGCCCAAAATGTACCGTTAATTTATTATAAATTATAGTCAAAAATATTTTGAATATTGTTAATTTTTCATTGAATATTTCGGAAACTTTGGAGAATAGCAAAATTTTTGTCAAAACCATTTTTATAGAGCAAATAAAGATCTACAAAAAAGTTTATGATCAAAATTTGAGTACTAGCCACAGATTCAGAGATATTCATCAAAAATCCAGCTGAGGGCTATTACGTTGAGCGCAGCAGGAGGTTTGAATAAGTTGCGCATGGCGCCAATCACGTGACTCATGGCACTGTCGCAGGGAGGGTAACAGCTGACGCGTTGCGCCGACTGCTTCGAAATTGCTATTATAATTTATAATAACTTAACGGTACATTTTGGGCTATAAGTTCTTAACTCCCCCCGATAGGACATTTTCTCAGCTACAAAGAAATATTTTTTTTTTCCCATCTGATGAGGTTAACTAAAGATATCTAGGATTGAAGACGGCCTGTTGGCAATTCCCAATTGTTTATAACAAATTGTGAATCACCCCGGCAAATTTGAGCATATACTTTTTAAAACATTAATAATTACACTTTTAGCTATCGATTGGTGTAATTTGGTGCCCTTTGGTTAATTTCGATGTTAAAAATCTAATTTGACTGGACTAAACCCTTAAACTGCACATTGGGTCAAATGGACTCGGTACGAATACTTTTTCGACTGCATTGTTGCTATTACAAATAACTATCCATTTCAAAAAACCTTATATGCCCTCATATTCTACTCTTCGTGCTAGATCTTGATTCATCAAATACAATTTGATCTCTTCTAATGTGTAAATAATAGAACGAAATATTCAAAATTCTGTCAAAGAATGCGTTTTTCAAGATTAAAAATTTCACTTGCTAACCTGTTTTCAACTGTCAACTGTCAAATCAACTATCATACGTTGTAAAAATGCACTCCATCGGAAAAATGTGTGCTCCGATATTTGACACAAATTGTGGGTCTAATGGACCCCCAGGTAAGAATTACATAGGCTGACGATGAGAACAAGCCTGTATGAGCCCAGGGTTGGCGAGGCTCAGTTATTCAGGCCTGGGATAGGCTTGGTTTCATCGTTCACGTGAGTTTCAAATGGGGATGATTAAAGGGGCCATTCGCGAGGCTCAATTCAGGTCTAGTCCAGGCTTCCAGTATTCAGGCTTCCAGTATTCAGGCTCAGTACGTCAAGGCTTATTCAGGGCTCAGCAAGGCCTCGAAAATTAAAGTTATTTTCGATTAATTTCCTCAATTCTTATATCAATACTCATTAGCTAATGGTAGTGAAAACATTATCATCATCTACAAACATAGCTATAATTTTCCGCCAAGTTATCTAAGCTACCCCCAGACCAGGCCTAGAGCAGCCCTTTGTGCACGAGACTACATAATTATTATTATCCTTATCTATAATTAATCAATCAATCGATTCTGAACTCATAAATCCATCGGACCTATCATTTATTCAAGTTCAGGAAGTTTAATTATGATATCAACAAAATAACAAAATAACATTAACACAAGTTGAATTTTTGTACCCGAAAAAAATGTATAATCCTTAGAAGTCGTAGGTCGCCCAGTGGATAGCGCGCTTGTCTACGGATCAGAAGGACCCCGGATCGAACCCCAGCAGAGGAGCAAATTTTTAAATGTTTGATTTCATTGTATTTCAATTTCCAGGTGTGCGGTAATAATCCAAGACGAATAATTAATAGAAACTAATGATGATAATAATTTTTTTCCCATCCATTGTTAATTAACCGACAATCACAATCACCAACAACGCTAAGCAACAGTGATGTACGGTCCGATCGCACTCTCTTTCATAGGTTACTCTAAATTCATAAAAAGGGTTATCAAGCAATAAGAAATTGTTTATACAAATATCTGTAAACAATACTGCAGTTTATTTAGCCGAAGCTCGATTGAGCCTTTAAAATGTGGTAATTCAAGGCTTGAATCAAGCCTTGGCACCGAGCCTCGTTCAAGCCTTGTGGACTAAGCCTGAAACGAGGTTATCATTTTAGGGCTGAAGGAGGATTGATCCAAGGCTGAGCCCCAGCCCTGATTGAGCATTTCCGAGCCTTGGTCCAGAGCTTGATGAGCCCTGTTTCTATCGTCAATTCTTACCTGGGCCCATGTGTGCAAGTAAAGCGTCAAAAAAATAATTGTGTGCTTTGAGGGTTAATGATGTGCCTACATCCTGAAATCTAGAATTTTGCATCAGGCCCATACCTGATTTGGTATCGGATACACTTTCAACATTGGTACCCAATATTTCGCATGAACCCTAGATTGGTCACCCTATAAGGAAAAGCCCGCCGCGCCTCGCTTTTCGTTAATTACAATTGACTGGCTAACCGGAAAAATTGAAAAAAAGTGACTTCGTCAATTGAAGTGTCTAACAAATTATAGTTGTTTTTAGAACAACATATTTCCCAAAATTCCTCAAGAAAACAAATTATTTCGAGCTAATGAATTCTTTTTTCTCATGTTAAATGCAATTGCGCATGACGCGACGTTGCCGGAAACTCGCTAAATGCGCTCGGGCAGTCTAGAGTGAATTCGGCAACGCTAATGCCTAAATAATACGGCAGTGTATTCCCGCGGAGGAGACCAAGTCGCAGAGTCGCGTTTGGTGACCACACTAGGGTTACCCTGATTCGTATCTGATCATGTATCAAGTCCCCATGATCATTTCTACTCCGGTAGCAGCGAAAAGCTTAAAATGATTTCTTTGATAAAAAAAAGTACTGCCATTAATTTTTTGTCCATCCCGTCATTTTTTTATTATGAAATAAATCTCGTCTTCCCTCTCGACCCCTCTTTTCCTCGACCGTTCATTCTTGTGATGAATAGAATACCGTTAACAGTGTGACGTATCTGTCGATAGACTCATGACCAAAATGACGTCCCGTTCAATTTCTATCGATGTTGTCATGACTGATTGAAGCGAAAAAAAAAAACTCAAATGAACAAAAAATGGAATACGAGACAGTTTATATGCCCTTACTCTTTGAACAATCAATAAAAAATTTCTTCCCAAACAACTTAGTGTGATCATACTGTCAGATTCATCAACTCGCGTCAGTTAGTGGGACGTAATCCAAGACAGTTCCTCTGTTCACAATATTTATTTTTGTGGGTACTTTTGTTGAGAGAGGAATGAACGCAGACGAGTCTAGTGGCTCTAATACTCGCCGTCTAATGGTATCCAATTTAACATCGATGCTCTATAATTTTTCTTCATCTACGTAATAATATCAATTCTCCAATTAAGCGGAAGAAGTGGAAAAAGTCCATCCACTTATTTTTTTGTTTGTTTTGTTTTTCTTGATCATCTTGAGTATTAGACAGAAGAGGAAGATAAAACTTTTTCCATTAAATATTGGGGGACATTTCCGCTTCTCAATACCGCAGAACAGTTCTGTTTCCGACAATAATTTTAGTGATACAATGAAAAACATGAGTTATCATCATTTCTTCCCCTTAACTGCCAAAGTTTACACAAAACAATCCTAAATACCTGAAGAAGGATAGTAAAACAGGTAAGACTTCCTCAGTACCCTCATTTTTTATGATGAATTGACACGTAGATATAGGGACAGTCCAATCGGTCCACCACAAGAATCGTAAAGAAATCCAATAACAAAATTTTCAAATATACTCAGCCCTCCTGGTCGCCATCTTGGCAGCCCTAGTTGCGAGCGCTCCCAAGGAGCACACGAGTCCTGCCACAGTCTCCCAAAATGTAGGCCTTCGCCTCTTCTGATTTCCCTGATCCTGCCAATAGCTGTCAGAGAATCCTGAATAGACTCGCGAACGATTCCTGTGAGACTCCTTCGGATTCTCGTTGGTATCGCCACTAGATCGCGACCTGGGCTGATGCTTGACGATTCCCTTCTCCTGTTTTCCCTCGCTGAATACTCGCGAGTGGCCGCTGTCATGTGAACCTCTTGAACCCCTTGAAGCCCCTGATTCTCTCCTCAATTGCTGGACATTACTCAACCTTCGTTCCATGAGGTTGACCAAATTATGATGTAACCTGCTATCATTCTCCTGGATCATCGGTAACTGACTTGTTCGCCTGGACGAATCGATGAGACTGACAGAGTCCACTTGTCAGGCGTATTCAGTGTCTGTCGAAGCTGACCTCTCAAGGCCCTCGGCATGACCTGAATGCTGCTGCGAACCCGGTGGACCCGGTTGTCCCGCCTGTTGCTGTTGCGCTTGCGCATAAGCCAGTGACTTTTGATAACTGAATAGCTGACGCTCAAGGCTGTAGTTTTCCGCCTGGAGCGCTGCAATTTCTCTCCGCATCTGTTGGTTGTGAACCCGACAGACATCATCGTATTTATGGTAAGTCGCTTGGAAGAGGAGATGACTTTCGTTCCACTCTAGACGGATTCTCAGCTGTCCTTTATCCGTCAAGAAGGGACAGTGATTGTCGTTTACTTCATTGACCCCCAAGCTCGTCTCCATGATGATGCCCTCGTCCGCGGGTTCCTGTGCGTAGTACCGGGAAAATGGAGCGCCAGGGAGGAGGATTGCTTCTGCGTCCGGCTCGTCTCCCCGCATGAGAAACGCGGACCAGCTGATGTATCGAAGGTGATTTCGCGGGACGTTGTGGATGTCCTTGTAGACGAGCTGAAGGCGAACGGTGTCGGAGTGAAGGTCCGCCCGGATGGCCCAAGCTTGTTTGTCTCGGTCGTAGCAAGGTGCTGCAGGGAGGCTTGCATGTCCCAGCGCCTGAACAGCCACCTCGGAAATGGTTCTCGCTTCGACCATTTCGAGTGACACGCGCAGGATTCCCTTGTGTGCTATGTCCGACCAACGAACACGCGGGTGCCAACCGAAGCCTCTACCCTCCGCGTCAGACAGGTCCTCGATCTGACCTGATTCCATCCTTCGCTCGCCCTCCCCAAGGGCTACGCTGTAGCGCACACGACAGCGATGATCGAAACCCGTCAGGCGGACCAGATAAACACTCAGGCGACCTTCCTGACGGACTTCGCCCTCCTTGTTCCCCTGAGGGTAGATCGCAAGGTTCCAATCGAACCCGCCGAATGTAAAGTACCCTGTCTCGAGTTTATTCGGTTTCTGTTGACCTCCGGTAAAAACTCCCGTCAACATTCGGACTTCTGCGGTGAAGACCGTCCGCACATTCGCCATGGATAACTCCAGTTGGAATTCCCCGTTCGGATCCGCAAAGTTGCGGCTATAGAGGTCCGAGACCGGAATGTAGTTCCGGTTGCCCTGGGCTGGCGCATCGTAGGTGAACTTCACGCGTTTTCCGGAGAAACCTTCATTCACTGAGAAGTGCTCGCGGTTGAGGAGGGTGAAGGTGAAGTCTACATAGACACGTAAACCTGGTGCCGCGCCACGCCAGACTAGATATACACCGAGGACCTGTTGACATTTTGGGATTTTTATTGATAAGGGGTTGTTGTTATGGGAGAACCTCGTATTCCTTATTTTCACATCTCTGACATTCCTTGCCACGTTTACTCTACCCTTGATAGTCCTTGTGTATAATGGAATGCAAGAAATGGGAGGTTTTGCTGTATAGGTGCTTCGTGACAAGAGTATGGCTCGCAGTAAGGACAGAAAATATACGAAACTGGAGGTGATTATCATAAGGGTATCAAGGGATTCTGAGAATTCTGGCCATAACACCTTCATAGTATGGGAATATAAGAAATGGGAGATTGTATTTCCTAAGAGTCTTATGGCTAGAGTACACATTCTAGTGAGATACAGAAGTATAAGAAACCAGAAGTGAGAACCCCACATTTCTTATATCTTAATCCCTTATATTCCTCTCACTTCTTATGAAAATAATTTGCATTTGTTTTTTCACTCCATCATATTTTTGTTAGTATAATTAAATATATTGTAATTATATAATTTATGAGAGCTTGCACTGTACAAATGCCTCATCAATTTTTATATTGTTCTGTCTAGATGCCTCATAAATATGAAAAACTAGACGTCATTCTCATAGGAAACTGAAGGAATATGAGCAATTCCACGCCAAATCCAAAGCTTGAAAAATTTTATGCCTGAGAGATTCTTAGCAATCTTTTTATGAAAAGTTTTGTATTAAAGGAATATTATGAGAAAAAAATTAGAAAGTAGTAAAAATTAGGGAATTTATGATTTTTTGAAAATTTTTCTTTTTTTTTTTTGGATGAAAATTTTTTTCACATCTTCTTCAATATTATAATCCCCTTTAGAGCTATCAAAATCCTTTCCAATACACCTTAAGCACATTAAAAAACTTTCAAAATGAGATGTAGCTCGCTGCATTCGCTTCAGTTTTACGAGGTTTATACGCCAAAACGTATTTTTTTTATCACTGCTGCTAGGTTCACTTCGTATTCTGGAATTCGCAACTCGGGAATCGATAAAGCGCTAATCGTATTTTATTCTTCACTTTTTTCTATCCAAATTTCACAACTTTTATTGAAAGTTGGCAGGAATTTTCTAGATGACGATGGTTTTACTACTAGGCATTATTTAGTTTTATATATTGTTCAAGAGTACAATTAATGTTATTCGCGGAATCTTTAGTAAAAACTGTAAAATTCTGAAAATAAAGACAACAATTAGATACTTCCGGGGCTTTATCCATTATTATTAATAGAAAATTTGAAATTTGCAAAAATCATCATAAGAATAAAATCAACTGTTGAGAAGTGGTATCAACGCCAGTCTGGTTATCGGCTGAAATGTTTGATCTAGAATATAGATGCTGCGAGATATCATGCTTCCCTCGCCATGCGCTTCGATCGGTCTGGTTGAATCTAATGGCGAGCGCATAAACACATGTCGATTGTTCTTTCAAAATGTATTCCGTTGGTAGGTATCGATGCAATCTTTATAATAAATATTGTTAACCCGAGTGATTGAGTTTACTGAGCTTATTTCCAAAGCCTACAACATCAATAGATATAGCTATCATAATTATCGTTCAACGATAAGTGTGTCATTGTAACTAAAATTTCAAGCTATAATCGAATTCATTTGAAGCATAATATCTCATGATATCCCCGGAATTCAGATTTTCAAAAAATGCAAAAATTTTCCAAATTTCAATGTAAATCAAAACAACGATTATTGCTATCGCCTTCATCTTCGAACTCGGTGGAAAAGGCATTCAAACAATTTTTTTAAGCCATCATTCAATTGATTCAGAACATTTTTTTGGTTATCGTAGAACAACAGATTTTTGGAAAGATTCGAAAATTTCAAAAATTGTTCAATTAATTGAATTTTAGTCAATGTCAACGAACAGGGCTCAACACGATCTACATTTGAGAAAAATAAATGATTAATTCCATTGATTCATTAGCGAACAATTGATGAAAACCTCTGTCACCTACATCCATACGGACACGGTCTAAAAATTGCATTTTCGGACTTTTTGGATCATAATGGGCCGATATAACGCAAAAAATCCGAAACTTTAATTTAAACGATTACAAAGCTTCTATTCGGAAGCAAAAAATAAGAATGGAAAAAATTGTGGGGTATTTACTGAAAATTGAGTTTTTCAATTATTTATAATGAAATTAATCGTGGATTTATGCATTACAGAATCAACAGAAATATATTCATCCGACACTTCAATAAAGCTAGAAGAAAGATGAAAATTTAATACGCTGAGAATTCAATCTAGTTTAATAAAACGCGAATTACGTTAAAACCAACAAATAAGAACGTAGAAAAAAATTGTAGCTCGCACGCGAGTTACAAGAAAACTCTAAAAAAATTAAAGTATAGCTCTTTGAATTCCCCAATCCCACAAAAATCCCTGTCAATTTACCCGAATTCAATTTACCCGAATTCCTTACAAATTAATGAAAATGTAAGTTTTAATAAGGGTCCTATTTTGTACCGCGCTTTTGTTTGACCCAGACTTCCATTTCGCCATAGTTTTCCGTACAATCTTTTCCATATGTCAAAAATTCCATCTTTTGTCACATATAAATTGTAGTACGAATTCATTCATTCCTGAAATAATAGGAAGATAAACAGCAATTTCCCGTCATTTTCAGCAGTTTGCACATTCAAAGTTTCAATAACTGCCAAACTACTGTGAAAAATTGACTTTAACCTCGTCATTTTATCGTCACTTCATTGATGATTTTTCGTAAAAATTGTAGATTAACAAAATTAGGTTTTTGTCTTTATCCCAATTGAAAAGAAAACGCATTTTGGCACATAAATCGTGTAAAACTGTAGTGAATGCAGTGGGTGACATTATATTTTAAAGGCTTTTTCATTTTCTAAAGGGGGCTGATATATTAACGATAATGTAAATAAAAAATTTTTATCAAAGGAAATGAATATTTGAAAAAAAATCCTAACTTCGAGAATTATCAGCATTGTTCACTGATTTTTTTTCTAAATGTTCGCCTCATGCCCAGCTTTTCAGAAAAAAACTGATAAGAGAATCCCAAACGTCGAACTTTCTGGGCTTCGGATTTGTTGTGAAACTGTTTTTATAGAACAATAAAATATAGGGGAGGGTGGGGTAAAATGGATACTTTTGACTTTTTTTGAAATTTTCACGACGTGTTGAATTGTTTATGAGATGGAATAATTTTATTTTTCAATTGAAAGGACAATTCGTCTCGTTTGTGACGAGATTATACTGAGCTCAATTGATAAATCTGTTTCTGACTTAGGAATATTTAAAAAAAAGTAAAAGGTGTCCATTCTACTCCACCCTTCTCTAATGAATGGGTGGTTCTATGACATCAGGCAGTCACTAGTTATCTTTGACCAAAAACGTGTTTTTGTATGTTTATATTTCGAAAATTAATTAAAATGTTATTTAATCAGACCTTGTCCCCTCGGGAGAATGCAACTGCCCATCTCTGAAATCCACAAACTAGCTCTTTGCTGGTGACGTCTCTTTCCGGGTCACGTACGACACTCCTGGTAACGACAAATGAGAAGACCCGCGTGCCACCGCGATCCGGTAGCTGCGCGAATCTGTACAACAGAGCCATCACCGCATCACGAGGTTTATACTACGTTTCCCAGGCAGTTTCGACCTCCCTCCAGCGTTGATTCTCCTGATGGTTATAGCGTCGCTTCGCGTGCCACCTACACCTGCACATGAAGGAAATGTTTCAACATTTGTTTACAAAGGGGGTAGCCAATGGCAGTGGAGCATCAGGGTAGTTGGAAATGTACTCTCGTTCAATTCCGTTGAATAAACCGCTGCTTTCGCTAATTGGAGAATGACTGACGGGGGACCATTAACATTCAACCATTAACACATGTTGTTAGTCCTTGCGAATTGAAAATTGTTGGACAAGAGGATGAAACTGGACAAGTGGTGGACTATTGGGAATTAGACTAGTGGGACTAATTCGGTCATTTGTGGAGGGACATTATCTACACAGATTCATGTATATGAAACAATTTTGCAAACAAATCTAGCCATTTCTCTCGAAATAAAATTCTCTCTATAATACATCTATTGAAAATTTTTTGTGTTCTGCACCGATTTCTACTGATAATTGTTGTATTCATTTTCTAGGAGAATTCAACAAATTCGGAATTTGCTAATATTAATTATCCTCTTCGTAGTTTCTTTTATAGAAATTCATGGCCATGAACGTTTCCTTTCTCTTTGCTGTACACTGATAGAATGATTCATTCATCCCAAACGAGGTTCGTTAACTATTAACGAATGGTGGAGTTGAATATGACCAAATAAATATTCGTTAATAGTTAACAAATGGTTAACTTGAAAGGTGAAAGTCTAGTCAAACAAGACTTCTCAAATATGCATTCGCTAACTATTAACGAATGAACATTTGGTGAGACTACATAGACCCTAGCCTTCAACCAAATCCATTTGTTAACAATAACTAATCCTGTCTGACAGTGTATTTTTTTGTTTTCTATTACAAAGTCTAAGAATAAAAACATAAAGAGTTCTTCGAACTGCATAAGTTGTGCAGAAAAGAAATATTATTAGCCTTTTCTGTTGGAAATAAATTGAAAAGCACTCAGCGATGATGCACGATTTTTGATAGAATTTGAATCGAAATTTTTTACACGTTTTAAAATGAAGTTGCAGGAGAGCTTTCATTATCGAAGAATATTAAATGATTTGCAAAATTTGAAGTAGAGAAAATGATGCTCCAGAGTTTATACTGTAAGAGTCGCCAACAATCTTGCCTGTTTTCAATCTAACCAAAATAGGAATGATGCATTATTCTCCCTAAGATTAAGCATTAGTGTTCAAACCTTCAACACCAGGAAAAAAAAATTAATGAATTTCCGGACGATCGTCGGAAAGTTGAGTAATCTTCCCTATTTATCACTCGAAAAAATTCTTGGAAAAAGAGAACGAACAATCCAAATTCTAGTTATGAATAAATTTTATGGAGAATAGGCTTGTCAAAATGTCAAACATAACTAATGCACAAAAAAGATCGTGGATACTGTTTAAAAAACAGTAACCGAATGACCGCTCAATTTGGGAAACAAGTAGTCCATTGCACAGGTATAATTTAATATAGTTTTTTTGCTAATAAATTAGCAATTTGCTTCCGAATGGATTAATCGAATTAAAATAAAAATTTTGATCGAAGTATCGAAGTGCATACTCGGTTCCTTCTTTTTTCTGTTACTAATTCCACATTAGTGGAATCCCTCTCGAAATTCAATCTGAGGAGAATTTTAATAGATTTTTCTTCAAAGATAATTTAACAAAAAATCCTAGTGAACGGAATTTTTTAAACTAAATGGCAACTGAAGACGAGAAAAACGCAAAAAACGTGAAAATCGACTTCTGGGCATTCTTTAGAGCCTAGAAAGTTCCTGATCAAGGTTGAACTTGAGTCAACCATGTGCCAACCACATGACACATGACTTTTGGTCAACTTTGGGTCCATTTTAGCTTGACCTTGGATCAACCTTGGCATGACCTGTTGATTAAACCTTGATTAAAACTTGACGAAACTTTGGTTAAACCCTGATTAAGCCATGATTAACCTTCGACTAAATCCTGATTAAATCCCGACTAAACCTTGACTAAACAACGACTAAATCCCGACTAAGTCCTGACTAAACTCCGGTTAAATCTCGACGAAGCCCCGACTAAACCCCGACTAAACTCCGACTAAACTCTAACTAAATCCCGACTAAATCCTGGTTAAACCTCAATTAACTGCTTTTTAAGGCTATAATTTCAAAGTAAATGATGTAATCGCAACTATCTTCGAAGTCGAGATAACATCCAAACGAATATTTCAAGCCATAATTGAAGAGAATTCAACAATTATTTTTCAAATGATCGTTGAAAAACTAAATTTGAAAGAAAAGCTCACATACATACATACATACATACATACGGACCTAAACAGCATATTCGAACTGTCTAAAAACAGCATATTCGAACTCATGAGATCAAAATTAGTCATCCTGACACAAAAAAAATGAAAATTTCAGATTTGACGAATTCAATGCGTCCATTCAGAAGCAAAAGCAATTAAATATTGGAAATAAATATAAATGTTGGAAATGAACAATAATAACAACTCGAATGCATCCATTCTTCCCTCTTCTGTTTCTTTCCAATATTTATTGATATTCGAACGTATTGGTTTATAGAGCCCCCTGATTTCTGATCTTTTTTTTCAAATTTAGTGATCACGCGGCCACTGCTTTTTAAACAGACGCACGATCTGATTTTTTCATGTCACGTTTTCTTTGGTTTTCCTCAAACTTTTAGCAAATGCGATACATTAGGTTGGAAAGAGTTTAGATAGGAGGCGACAAAGGCACAAATTACAAAAATGGGAAGGAATATCTCAGAGTGAAAAAAATTTACTATGTTGAAACCATTCGGAAGCCTACCATAAATTTATTGATGGCGAAGAAAGCATTAAAACATCACTCAATGACATGCTCGCTGCGCCCTGCTAGGTTTAAACGCTCATTAAATAATTAAATTAAACACGTTAATTCGATTTAAAGCCGTCCGATCGAATTATTGAATTTTTGTTTATCATAGATAGAATATTATGGAAACAATATTTCGGTTGGCTGATGGTACTCTACTGGTATGCAGCTCGGACGTTGTAGCGCCACCGAATACGTGTGCACACGCGTTTGCCTGTAGCGTTTGCGAGCGTACGAACACCAATATCATGCCCACTAAATTTTAAGAATTCAAAAGATTTTTATCTTTTATAAATCAAGACAAAAAAAATTTCATTCCGTTCTCTTGAATTGAAGTTTCCGGAGCTCTTTCTAGCCGAATCTAGCATCTCTTGAGAGATCATAAGCTAAACTGGTCTACTTGAGCTTGAAATTGTCCTCCAGTGAGAATAATTTCATCAAAATGAATGAAAATTAGTTATATTAGTTCCAAATTCCATTCCGCTACATCAGAGATTCCATGATTTATCAATGAATTACGCAAATTTAATGAATAACTTTTACCTGGAGAGAAGATAAACCCTTCCATTACATCAAATTAATTACAAACTTTCCACTAAAATTACATTCTCAAAATCACATTTTCGTAATGAACTGCAACAACATCTGTGTAATCACGACAAATCATCCATTTAAAAGTTCATATTCCAAACAATTCCACTCGACAGCTCTCGATTAATAGCCAATGAAATGTGACATTTGATGAAATGGAACTCTATCACCCCCTCCAATTCAATTTTGATCAGTTCCAATATTCAGACTCTCCAATTTTTCCGTCACAGAATATTTCAAAACCTAAAAAAATATATCACATTAAATTTCTGAATGAGTTCGATAAGATGAATACCCAAGGGAAAGCGTAAGAAGTGACTCCGAGATGAATCAATTTTGAAGAAAAAAGGTTGCGACCCAGGTGAGTCTACTCCTTTGCTCATCCAAGCGTTATTGATTTTTCATGCGGCGAAGGGAGGAGGGAGTACGTAACAAAGTGCTCAGGACATTTGGCTTTTTAGGGTAACCTCGAGTAGCTCCAAGGAATTATGCTGGAACGAAAAGATGAAGAAACGTTGAAAGTAGCTGCAATACTCCATCGTCAATGGGGTTTAAGATTCACAAAGGTGGGAAAGAATCAGGCTGCCATTGATGCATTTCGAAGGGCTTTGGAGGAAGGTGGAGACCATCTTACCACTCTCATTGGGCTGTGTGTTGCACTGTTGGAGAATGGAAATTATGTGGAGGCAGATGAAATTTCAAAGAAATGTTTTGCAATTGGTGAGTCTATCTGAGTTTTAGGTAAGTGGGGATAGTATCGAGTTTCTTGGAGTTATTAGAATTCAGAGAAGACGAAAAGATCGAGATAAAAGATAAACATGGGGATTAACATTAAGATGACAGATTAAACTTCAGATATAAATTGAGATGATTTTATCGACCTATAAACTTGGGTTGCAAATTTGATGACCATAAAAATCGAATATAAAAATCAACATTTTCCATCGTTAAAAGATGAATTGATTGTTAAAAATAATCGGAATTGTTTAGGAGATAATAAATGACTTGAAAGCTGATTAAATAACGAATTAACAATTGTTTGAATCGGTTGAAGGCCGATTTACTTTTGATTTTTATGATCTCCACTGACCTCCACTAAAATAATTTTTTTTTCAGTGAGTTTATCTAAATTTTGGATAACTAGTCATAATATCGAGTCTCTGGAATTTATTAGGATTTAGAAGAAATAAAAACATGAAGAGTAACTAAAAATCGCGAAAACAAAATTGATTCCATCTGATTAGCTGAAAGTTGTAGATCAAAATAAAAAAAATTGGATGAAAAATGAATATGAAGATGAATGATAAAATGCTAGATGAAGCTTCGAATGAAAATTGATATAATTTTGTTCGGCCTATGAATTGGTATTTCCAACATGCTGACCATGAAAATCTAATCTAACGATAAATTTTCCACTTATAGAAGATGAATTGATTTTTAATGATAATCTAAACTGTTTAGGAGGTAATAAATCATTTGAAAGCTCATTAAATTAGGAACCAATCATCGTTTAAATCGGTTGAAATTCGGTTTACTTTTGATTTTTATGATCTCTACTGACCTTCACTAAAATATTTTTTTTTTCAGTAAGTTTATCTGAGTTGCGGATAACTAGCGATGATATCGAGTATCTTGAGGTTATTAGGATTTTTAAAAAATGAAAAGATGAAGAATAATAAAAAATCGAGAGAAAAAAATTTTATTCCATCTCATTAGATGAAAGTTGAAGTTCAAAATAGAAAATGAAATGAAAAATGAATATGAAGATGAATGTTAAGATGACCGATGAAGGTTCAGATAAAAATTTGTATAATTTTGTTCCGCCTATAAACTGGTATTTCGAATATGATGACCAAGAAAATTGAATTATAAAGATTACAAATTTCCATATTCAAAAAATAAAAAGTCATTGAAAGATGGTCTAGATAGCTTAGAGGATAATTAATCACTGAAGTGCTCATTCAATTAGGTATCCACAATAGTTTGATTTCATGAAATCCGCTGTTCCTTTTGATTTTTACGATCTTTACCGAGTTACACTAAATTTTTGATCATTTTGGAATGAATAATGATTTGGGAAAAAGCATCAATTATCGGTTAACGATAATGGGAGGAATGATTAACTATTACCAGATATGGTGGAGTAAAAGCACTAATAATGACCAGAAACCACCGAATCCACCGACAAGAATCCTACCCAAATTCTGCAGCTGGTCTTCTTTATGTGAATATTTCTTCCTCATAACCTCCAACGACTTGAGCTGCGGGGCACATGCTACTTCACCATCAAAATTTATGATTTCGCTATATTTTATGGGATGTAAAATTCAATATTACCATTTTTATAGTTAGAGGGGGTGAATAAATGAAGATCTGAAGCAGTATCATTTGCTAGAAATGGAATCCACTGTTCTTGTATGACATGTAGTATAGGTGATCCAATAAAAAATGAAAAATCCGTAATTAGCAATATTAGGAGTGATTGTGACAAAGTGGCATCTTTTAGTAGGAAAAAATTATTCCCAGGATAATAGTTCTTTTTCTCAAGGATGACACCTCCCGCCATTGCTCAATGCCATTTTTCATTTTTAAACATCAATGATCCCTCATGATATTGCGGGTAATATATACTCTCATTTTCTCTTGTAAATTACTTGAAAATGAAGAATGCTTTTACATCCCTCTTGACCTGAATTAGACCTCCAACATTAAACATTAGAATCTGAAATCCCTTTGTTCTCACATCATTTCACGACAATAGATCCTGGTAATTACGAGGCAAAATGGTTGAGAGTGGAGACGCTGTACAAAATTGGAGAGTTTGGGAGTAGTCTCGTGCACGCCTATCGAGGATACCATCAGCGTCGTTATCCCTTCGAGAATGGAGTGTTCTGTGGGAGGGAAGCCCTCGAGAACTGCATTGGGCGGAATACGGCTGATAGCTTGATGGAGGAGTTGATACCCTGGATGAGAAAGTTGGAGGAGCGCCGAAATTCTCTGATCGCCAAGTTGTCGAGTGGAGAGGAGAATGAGTTGGGTAGGTTTGAAACATGTGAAACGATTAAATATATGACCCCGAGAAGAATGATTGTTAGATACCTATATAGATCATCTAGATGATGAAATGATCTTAACTCTCTGAGGTGATGGGTGTTTTCACCACTCTATGCACTTTCCGTAAGAATTGCTCGTCACCACTCCGCCGGACAAAGTACTACCCTAGTAGACATCAAATGTCCAAGCGCCGGCGCCCGGAATTTTAAGGGACGACTCTCATATAGATACGTGTGGCTATCCAGGTAAGAATTGACGAAGGGCGCAGGACTGGTCAAGCCTTGAACCAAGGCTCATAAATGCTGAATGCATCATCCAAGCTTGGATCAGAACTCATTGAGCCCTGAAATGATAACCACGTTCTCAGGCTGGGTGACGAGGCTTGAAGGAGGCCTGAAAAGGGATTCATTCAAGCCTCGAAATACCAAATATCATTGTTCTTCAAAATATTATGTCATATTTATGTTTATTAGTGTTATTTAACGATTACTGATCATCCCATAACGTCCATTATCAAAAGAAATGAAAAAAAAATTTTACCCGCCGGAATTCGATCCTAAGTATTTCTGATCTCTAGTCCGATGCCTTCTCCACTTGGCCATTCGAACAATTGTTGAAATTTAGGATTTTATTTTGGTATAAGAAGTACTGGGCGTGTATTGAATTTGTTTTTCCGTTTCAACCATTAGCAACTGTTTTTTATGTATTCCAACATATCAATGAATCAAAAACTAATTGATTCATTTTTTTAACGAAATTTGGGAAGCCTCTCTTGCCAAGGGCTGCCGCAAGCCTTGTCCAGACCTACCTCGCTTAGTTTGACGGGAGGTCACGGTAATGTCTATTGACTGGATGGAGAGACTTTTCTTCGCTGATAAATATGAAATTATTGACGAGGAAGGTGACAATTAGTTGGAATGTAACCTTGGTTGAGCTTTTCCGTATTCAGCCTCAATACTTTAAGCCTGAACTAAACCTGAATTAAGACTCCAAAAGCCCCATCTCTCACCCTCATTTCAGGCTGAGGTAAACGCTAAGATCAAGCCTGCTCCAGGTTTGTGTCACTGACCCTCACCAAACCAAGGCTCGTACAAGCTTGTTCCCATCGTCAGCCTATCTAATTCCCATCTGGGTAATAGCGGAACGTCCCCGCTAGTGCACCCAATATACGAGACCAAATGTCTGGGCGCGCGCGTCCAGCGAATGTCACCCTGCCGATCACAATTTCTACTAGGGTACTCACGACGACTTTCACCTTAGCGGTTTAAGAATCCATAATAATCATAATCATTAATGAAATTATCTAGATGATTCATTGATGATAATAATATGATCTTGTTATCTGAATTATTCAAGCAATCACCTAAATTCTCCAGATGACCAGAAATACTACGTAAAATTCAAAGACTCGTGAAGTTATAGGTTTTCGAGATATTCCTATTTATCAAGATAATGTCTAAGAAATATTAACCTAGATCATTACCAAAGAGGTAATCAAAATGTTCAGTATCTAAATAATCATCTATATTGTTCAGGTTGTAAAAAAATTCTTACGAACATCAGAAAGTTGTTAACTTATGAGTTTTTCGATTTACTCACATAATCATTCAGATGATCTCCAAAATTAGATCATTTAGATGATTATCAAGATAAATGTTATACGCATTTTGAAAAACTTTCGAACTCAACTCTTAACAATCATAATGTTCGCCTGAAAGGGTACACCGAAGAGTACACAAAATTCCGGGTCAACGATCCTGAATATCAACGCGAATACCGTATGAAAAAATTTCGGCGAATGTTAACAAGAAGATACCAAGGATATCTGGCAGATGATACCCTCTTTCTCGAGGGACTCCTTGAGAATTCCGACTCGGATTCAACTAAAAAAAGAAGTAACCAACAGTTGTTGGCCCTCATCCAGAAGCACTTGACGCGATCGAGTCAGACGACCGAGGTAGCCCGTATCCATAAGTCCTTGTACGTGTTTCGTTTCAAGAGACGTGAAATAACAACACCTGGATGGAAGAAATCTCAACTCAATGAGAGACTATTACGGAAACATAATATCGTGATTGAGGTACATTCAATGCTGATGAGACTTCATGAAGCCAGAGTTGCAAGAAATTATCCTCTATTTTTCAGGTAAAAATATATTCAAGAAGATAAGCAAATTACATCTTTAGGAAGGAGAATCAATGTTGATATTTTTTAATTTAAATCGCGCAATTTTGACATATTTTATGAAAAAAAATTCAAGCTAAATGTTTGATGGAATATGTTCGTGGCTATGAAAGAAACTCTCTTGATAATTAGTCTAAAAATTGCTGGTCCTCTGCGTCCATGTGGTGCACAAGTACCTCATTAACAATTTCATTTCATCTCATATAGTTCTAATTTCCTTCTGGAACAATAACATTCCGTAATTCCGCACATGAAAAAATTCGATAGCGCTTCTGCCGCTGAATTTTATCCGATAATTCTGTAGCGAAGTGGTAAACGAGATGAGTCGAGGCCAATTTTTACGAATTTGTTCGGAATTTAAAGGAAATAATGAAATTTTTGTGATGATTTTTTCTGTGGCACACGGTCTGCTAAACCAAGAAAGTTCTCATAAAAATTCTATTATTCCCTTCAGATTCAAAAATATTCATCGGAAATGACCTCCAGGTCGAACTCTACTCTGTATTTTTTTCCTACCGAACTCTGTAAAAAGTTTCGCATTCTTGTGACGTTTTTTCACCCAGAGATGTTCCCGCATAATTTTCCAACTTCATCCCCTCATCCCCTAATATTAAAAAAACTTACGAATTATTCTCATCCTTCATTTTAAAGATCCTCCGTGTGAATTCATGAAATCCCGTGAAACCCCACTTTTCCACGTTCATTCTCCCTCCCCTCTTTCCACAGCTACGTCGACAGAGCAAAGTACAAATTGGACTCATACCACACCTCGATGTTCCCTCAGAAGTCAGACTGCCTAAGAGAACTATACAAAATGGTTGCCCATGCTTATGTAGACCCGCGGGACGTGACTGGCATAAAAGATCCCACCGCAAGAGAGCGTTACCTTAAACATCACCTTGGAATACGAGAGGCTGTTCTCCCTCGGGACGAGGACCTAGCGTGGATCCCTTGCGGGCAGGAAAGAAAGTCGAAACTCGAGGTCTTCCGTCGACGTTTAGCCCTAACGTCTGAGCCCCTTGAGCTAGCGTGGTTGTTTCACGAACTTTCCAAACTCCACGTTGAGACAAAATCCCTGGATTTGGCTAGGTTCTACGCAAAAAAATCCCGGGACTGGAGCACTGACGCTGGCGACGACTGGTGGACACTAAACGCTAATCACTTACTGATCCGCATAGAGATTCACCATCACAATAGGAACGAAGCCAAGGAGGCCGCCATCTTGTGCTATTTGGGCGCTAAGAAGATGGGGTTAGACTTCCTCGCTGATTTCTACGTAAAAATCGCCCGAATTGTCGATACCATCGACCTCGAGAGGATGAAGGGCCTCGATGGGATCGCAATTCGAGAAAAGATTGTCTCCAAACTGATGCCCACGGAGAAATTGAAACGAGAAATGGACTTTTTACTACAGCGTATGGACGTTGTCCCCGCCAGACGGCGATTATCCATTGTACCAGGTTGTAAAACAATCGATAAGAAGTTCAAACTCCCCTGCAAGAGGAACACAATTCGTGTCAAGCCAACCATGAATCCAATCAAGGAATCCCAACGCATTTTACTGCGTCAGTATGCTCCATCACGGAAGATACCCGGTTGGATGGATTTTGAAGATTATCGATAATCGGAATTGAATTCGTGACCGATCAACCGCGATGGTTCGCAGCTATGTCTTGTGGAGATGGGTATCTCGCATTGAAAATGATCATCGATAATCGTTGGATGTATCCAGGTTTTGTGTATTACAGTAGGGGCTCTAGTGGATCCTATCGCCCGTGAAAATGATGAGCATTTTATTCAAATGGTTTGAACAAGCGTTTGAGACCAACTTTTATGAGAAATTTGTGGAAATAAACGTTCTTTGAATCAATTCAATATTCTTTGTATTATGCTTCATTTTATTTGTTCCTTCGACTTTGTTTAGGTATATCAAGGTTGGCCACTTCATTCGCGATAAATTAAGGGCCTGCAAGTGTATGTCTATAGATATAAAACAAGCAGGAGTTTGAGCGTATGCGACAGAAGGCATATGACCGTTACTTTTTACGTCATTAGTCTCTTCCTTTTTTTTATTTCTACCAATTCCATTGGTAGTAAGATGATTCCGAATGGATCCGTAGCAATTCCTTATCCTGGGAACAGGCATACAACCGTAAACACATACTACCCAGTGTCTATAGGAAAATATTCAACCTTCTAATGAAAAAGATTTGTACAAAAGATTAACTATCTCCGAAACGACTCGGCCGGTTGCGCCTATGCAAAATATCAAGCTTCAGAATTGTCTCTCTACATTATGAATATCCAAATCGACTTCTGGTGATGAACATTTGGTACCTAAAATTAAGATTCCAAAATTAATGGTGGCAAGGGTCAAAGTAAGGGTTATAAGGATCAGAATAAAGGTCATGAGGGTCAGAGTAAGGGTCACAAGCGACAGAATGAGGGTAAAATAAGGGTCACAAGGGTAAAATTAAGGCTTATAAGAATCAGATTAAGGGTCACACGATTAAAGGTCATAAGGATCAAATCAAGAGCCCAAATAATGGTAACAAGGGTTAGACTAAGGGTTTAAATAAGTGTCATAAGGATCAGATTAAGGATCACAAGAGTCAGTGTCAGGGTCCAAATAAGGGAAATGGGGGTCAAAAACCCAGGGTGAGAAACTACGGGTCACTAGGGTCAAAATAAGAGTCACGAGGGTCAGAATAAGAATCATGACGGTTATATGGGGATCATATGGAGGTGATATGAGGTTGGCGAGCGGAGCGAGCAGTGGGCATAGCCAGTAAGAGCTATAATCATACCAAATTTCAACTTACTACCTCCATTTTTCTCAAGTTATCATGCGTACAAGGATAAACAAATTGCAAAAAAAACAAAAAACCGGGGATATCTCGGAAACTTTGAACGAACGGATATATATATATTTTGATTGAAAAAAACATTGAAATCCGTCAAGATTCGTAAGATATTTGAAGGAAACACGATTGGTTACATATCTTAGGAACCGGTCGGCCGATTGCGCCCATCCAAAATACCAACCTTTAGTATTATAAGAGCGAGAACCATAGCAAATTTCAATTTGCAATCTTCTTTTTTTTCTCAAGTTATCGTGCGTATAAGTTTTCATGAAAAACGGAAACATGGAAATATCTCTGAACGGTCTATTAAAGAGCCTATATATTCTGATTGATCTACATAGAGACCATCGAGACGAGTATGTTGAAAAAAAAAATTGAAATCGGTGCAGTAGTTTTTGAGATATTGAGGAAAAATGAAATGTAAACAAGTTGTTATATCTCAGGAACTACTGGACCAATCGGGCTGAAAAATCGTGCCAAAATTGAGTTCAAAAATAGCTACAATGAGCAAAAATTTCGGATTTTTATCTACCAATATTACCGTATTTATGTTGAATTTTCTGAAAATCAATCACCAAAAACCCAAGATGAAACTTATATCAGAATAGTATATTTCTAACCTAGGGAGGGAAAATAAAGGATCCTCAGCCGCCAGTGCAATTACCAGCCGAGCCGAAGGCGAGGTTGGTAAGCACGCGGCTGAGGGTCCTTTATTTTACTTCCCGTGGTTAGAACGCGATTTTCCGTCTCGGCGTAGGCGCAAAGTCAGAGTTCCCTCCCGCGAAGCGGGAGGGAAATGTAACTTTGCGCCCGCCGGGCCGGAAAATTGGTTTTTCATCTAGGTTGTCGTTTTGGGTTCTCTCCCATGCCAAAGATGATAAGGAAGATGAATTTCATTTTTTTCCGATTTGACAGCGGGCAAAAACCATTTTGTGTGGAATACGTCAACAGCACGCCCGTCAGCCACTGTAAATCTCGAAAAAATTAAAATCTATTTTGCCAATATGTTTCAGTATCGGAAAGCACCCAAGGTAATTTCAGCCGTAACCTAGAAAGAGGACCATTTTTTTTCCGTAAGCTTTATTTCCTTTGTTCCATTCATCGATCCATGGAAATCCAACTTTGACTTGTACAAGTGGGTATCTTGGATGGAAAATAATCATCTGTAATCATTTTGTGTATTCACGTTTTGTATATTAAAGTAAAGGCTTCAGTGGATTTCGGATCCTGACTGAGCCATGAGTTTGAGAACAATTTTTACGAGAAATTTGTGGAAATAAACATGTTTTGAATTTGTCCGAAATTCATTGTGTTATTCTTTGTTTGATTTGTACCTCCGTCTCGGTCTAATGGGTTCATCAGGGTTGGCCAATCGATCCCTAACAAATTAAACGTCAGCGAGAAGTCAACCAAGTGATAGTAAACATTGGGAACATCGGTGATACCAAAAATCGGTAACGGTCAATATCCAATAAACGAGAAATAAACATACAGCCGTGACGTGGCTGGGACAGAATGAGGTTACTACGGACCATAAAGCCCGTGGAAATCTCGTTACCCCAACCGCTCGTGTCTGGTTCTGCTTATTTCCATTGCATCAATCAATATGTTACCGATATTCAGTTATTTATTTTTCCCCAGGCCTTTTGTATTGAGTGGTTCAGGTGAAATTGACAGCTGATGAATGATAACCCATGAAATTGAGACGTCACACGTGTGAAATATTGGTCCACTGATATGTCGTATACTCAGGCCGAGAGGATGAAGCATAAAGTACTGATGGCAATGTCTTACACCAATGTCAATGAAAAACAGCTTAAGGAACCAACTCCATCAGTCGAGAGAATCATACGATCTGCCGTGAGAGATACTAGATCAGAAAAGTTTGCCCCGTCAAAACGCCAATTGGCTTGTACTCTACATCGACAAGCCGATCAACTTCACAGAAAGTTATTACCGTAACTATGATAGTAATATCTAAGAGTTTCTTCCTCAAACTCAAGACAAACTTTCTAATTGCACGTTCATGAGGAGGAAATAAATTTTCTGACATGAGTAATAATCCCTGAAACTCGTATTCCCTCAGTATTTGGACAATTGATCTTTTTTTCCTTCAAGGAGATCTTCCTTCCATTTGTGTGCGACACGGCAAAAAACTTGTTCGGATGAGGGTACAAAGAACAGGGAACAAAAGGGTCTAAATTTAGAGGGGGGAACTCTATGGTAATCCCAGACAACACTCAAATGATTTAAAATTCTCTTTATCTCTGTAGCGGGAATTATAAAGCGGCGTTGGTACTCTACCACCGAGCGGCACGACTCTACCCCCAGAATGATGCTCACAGTGTTGCGACTAAAAAAATCTCAACGGGTATTGTGTCATCTACAAGCCCGTCCATCAGAAAATTTCAGGCTCTCTCAACTCCTACGAGAAGCAAAAAACCAAGCTTGCAAGTATCTCACCCCCTTCTTCCTGCGCAAGACATTCAAAATCTTCGGAGGAACAGCGAGGATCCTCCCACCGATGTTAAGAACGACCTCAGGTACATTTTACGACACACTTCTCGCTCCGAATATATAGATTTAAAGCAATCTCATTGTTTCAATAGGTGCTACGACACGAGAAAGGATTTGAAGGAGATGAGACCCCTCAGTGAAATGGAATTGATAGGTTCACAGGTGATGCTGAGCCAGCTCAATGAAATCGCCTGCAGGACTTTTCATTCACTCAAGAAATCCTTCAATAAAAACCATTTCGAAGACACCATTAACATTGGAAATGATCTGCTGAGAATCATCTCCTCGGGTGTCGATCAATACTGCTACCAAGTGGCAGCCCACAGATATTTGGCGCTAGCGTATCTGTCTCTGAGACGCCATGACAAGGCTGTTGAACATTCCGTCAAGATGATATTCGCGGCTAAAAAATCAGACGACATCAATCTTAGATTACGATCGTGTGCGGTTTTCGGAAAGGTTCATCTGGTTTTTGGACACTTGAACGCAGCTGTTAAGGGATGGGAGAACCTGTTGACATCACTGAAAGAAGCTGTGCCAAAAGCTTGGCTACTTCATGAGATTGGCAGGGGCCATTATGAAATGAGAAATTACCTGAAAGCGTTGGAATTCTCCAAACGCTGTTGTGATTGGGCAGCAGTGGGGGGCTCCAACAAATGGATGTATCATGGGAAGCTTCTCGGTGGTCAGGCATTCATCTGCCTCGGGCAGTTCTCTGAGGGGCTCGAAACACTTCAACGCGCCTCTAACATCGCTGAGATTGATAATGATTCCGACATGGGTCGATACATTCACAATTTAATTGAGAAGGTCTCTCAAGCAATGCGCAATCCAGTCAAGAGGGTCGAGAAGGATTGTTTGACTGAGATTTATTCAGCTGACCTGCATGTCAATGAGGACGATGAAAATCCGAACGATTTGGGAAAGTTCAATAATGAATTTGGGTACAAATTATTCACGTCGAGGACGCGAGTAATTCAGAAGTCTGTGGACGAAAATAGGGAGAATCCAATCAATACTCAGGAACCATCTATGGAGGCGAAAATCAATGAGACGAGTGGTATCATGAATTGTTGCATTGTTGATAAGTGGAAGAAACATTTGGAAGACAGTAGAAGGCCGCATGAGCCACGACCCGACCATATAGAATCTCTCCTATGCCCTCCGACAATCAAGCCCTCGGGAATTAGTGGCTTCAGAGGTGTGGAGCTGCGCCAAGAGGAGGAGGGGGGAGGAGAGTTATGTAGTAATTCAAGCGGCGGGGAGGACGGGAATGGGTGCGACAAGGGTGATGGGAATGAGGACGATAGTGAAGACACTTCAAGAACTTATGGGATTGAGGCTGATTTGTTGTATCAATGTTTTGTGGGAAACGGTGGAAATTCTAATGATGAGGAGAATTGACTGATTTTTTTCAGTAAAGGATTTCGCAGCAAACGATTTTTGGAATCCTTAATGTTTTACGATTTTACGGAGTCCCAATTTTTCTACCCCATTTTACAGTCTTAGTTTATAGCATAAAAGAGACTGAATGATTAATTTTCACGGTGGCACATGCATTACTTAATTAGTCAGATTTGTTAGCAATTGTAATATATAGAAAAATTGACCACTGGATCGGTTGCGTGACGTATTGTGGTGAGCCATAAAATTTTGGGTACACGCAAGCTGTTATTGGCGTGACGAAAAGATGCCTGGGGCTACCTGTTGATGCTGACACCGTTCGCACTTGTAGGCCTAGTGCCAAGGAGAATCTCTGGCATTGATATACCCTCTATATTTTTCTTGGATCAATAGTTCTATTTTTATTCGAAGAAATACCGAAGTGACGGGGGAAGTAGCGGCATTCCATCGGAAAATAAAAAATCGTCATTGCTTGTGATTGCGGAGATGGATTAATCTTGAACATTGTTTTCTTATCTGAATGAACAGATTTTTTTGCCATGTTTCTGCTTCTTATGACAAAGTAATCTAGCCACCAAAGTCTGCAAAATAATAACGGGTAGCATGTTCTGTAACACGTTAACGGTGTATTATTTATCCTGAAACTTGCTGTCACATAAGGTATGATCGCCTTCATAATACGGAAAGCCATTAGAATATTATGACTGCATTCGCTCAAGTTAGCATTATTTGAGCAGTCTTCAGTCATTACCTGTAGTTCAAATTATTTCGGATACACAGAGAAAAAAATTCCAGAATTTTTCAGGCGAAATTCAGGCAAAAAAAATTCTTGATGAAATAAAAAATTAGTAGAAGGAGGACCAACGTCCTAGGCGTGGATCAGCAGATGGAGAATTAGATTGATACTAGACAGTGAGTTGAAAAACTCCGCGCCAAGAACGTTGGTCCTCCTACTAATTTTTTATTTCATCAAGAATTTTTTTTAAATCCTCATTCGATTTGAAACAATTTCTCTTATAGAAATCTGATTGTGCACTATTTTCGTTTATTTGACATTGCTGACTTGGCTTTCTTTTTCATTTCTTTGTATTTTTCAAAAGTTTCTACTTCCCAGTAATAACCAGACAAAACTTTTTCTTGGCGCAATTTTTTTACAAAAACATTTGTTTTTGTTTTTTTAGGGAGATTTCATTATTTTTTTCAAAATAAACAAGGAATCGTGTTTATATCCTGTAAATTTTTTCATTTTCAATTCAATTCGGCTCATTTATTTTTCCCACGATAAATCATCTTTCTAATTAACAATCGAAGTAAAACAAATAGTTCTATTCCACAGTCGTTATTTGCACCGACTTTTAATTATTTATTCATTCAAGATTTTCCAACTGAATTTGCTTCTTCGAGAATTCATTTGTGCACGAAACTCGACTGAAAAATATCTGTGGAATTCATTATTCGTGCACCATATTCAATTTGTAAATTCCCGGGCCTTGGTGCGTGTGGTTGTATTGCACTGCTACCAACTCCGTAACAAAAAAATGATAGGAGTTGATGTGAAATGCGAGAATGTGCATATGAACCCGTTACTATCCCTAGTGGAAAAACCTAAGGCAGAGGCGTAACATGCCTGATCAGAATTTCGGATCGGACTTGATCAGTTTCTGATGGAGACCTGAACAGAATTTCTACTCGGGATGCGCGGATTTTTTCAAATATTGCTTCGAACAAAAAAATAGTTACATCAATGAGAAGCTTGTGGCCAATTTATATAATGTAACTAAAAGTATTTTTCATGTAGCTCGTCACGTTTGTATTTTATTTAATGGATACGATTCGGAGGTAGTGGAGGGGGTAGTTGCGTCGTGTATAGATACACAGCAATGATCGGCTTGATGTTTTGTACAATCGGAGTCAAAACTTTTCCTGGCCGATACGCTGCCACGTATCTCGATCATCTGGTCACATTAAATTGATGTTCGTGGTTGCGGAGGGGGCCCGAAGAGTGCCGAAATCTTACGAATGCGCGATCGGATCCTAGGATTTTGGTAGAGCACCGGAAAAATTTGCCAGCCAGTGTCATAATTTTTCTCGTTTTTCTCGTAATAGTATATTGTGCCCCTAGGGAGTAAAAGTATTTTCTGACGAATGTGACGTTATAACCCGAGCCGAACGCGAGGGTTATAATCACATTCGTCAGAAAATACTTTTACTGCCGTGTGGCACACGATCCCTTCGCTCGGTTAAATCGCGGTTTTCAGTCCTCGAGGCATAAAAATTCACTGTCGCTTCGATTTTACCATGCTGCACAAGAATTTTTCCCCACATTTATCCGAAAAATGACTCGTGCAACAGTACTTTTTCCTACTCTTTGCAGTACATTTCACCTGGAAAGACCATTTGAACCAACTTTACTGTGCCAGTACGGTATTTTTTCTCATACATTTCTCTCCGTGTAGGGTTGTATAAATTATTTTAGGAAATAGCCTAAGGCTATTTTTCTCCGAAGCCCGATAAACTTCAGTTTATAGCCCCTAATTCTGACGAATATCAGTTTCTTCGCACGGACCATCTTTTCTGATCTTCTCAATTTAATCAGACAAAAAAATCGAAACTTTGTAAATGCGATTATTCAGAATATTCAATGAGAATCAGTCTCGAATGAATATTCGACTGGCATTACACTTTGTTCAATTTTACGCTTCCATTTTCCCTGTCAGAATGTATCAGCCAGTTTGTGAATTTTCATCGCGGAAACTGATGACCATTTGAATATTTCATCCTTCTCCCGTACCGCTTCCCTACCCACGAGCGCTTCTATTTATTGGAAATTTAGAAAACCTGGACATCCTACCTATTCCAGAAGGAGAATTGTTAGGTGGTGTCGTGTATGTGTTATCGAACGATGTCACATACTGGAGAAGAGATTGGAGGGAACGAGGGGTGAGACACGTTGGGAGGTGTGTGGAGTATAGTATATCGAAATATTGGAGTGCCATCGCACTATCATCCGCATGATTCTTGCATGTTCTCGGGGCTATGGGGTTGAATATTCCGAGTGTGAACGGCAATGTAAAACCAGAGACCGTGAATTCGAAGGAATATTCTGGACGACTGCGTTTTCACGCGGGCAATGATATCTCGTAAAGTCTTGAATAATACTCGATGCGGGAATATCTGAATGCAAATGACGTCTCCATAGCAGTCATTTTGTCCTTGAATCAATGACGGTTGGAAACGTGTGGTCGGTTCATCTTAATCATGGTTCGATAACAGTAGATGAAAGGATATATTTAGATATATGTAAGGCTTGAATATGAGGGTATAATAGAATGGTCTTTTCCCATCTGACCTAGAACTTCATTCGTTGTTTGTCGTTCATTCCAAAATATCTTAAATTATATTGAGTTTGATATGAAGAAAAATTTTAATAATTAAGAAACTTGAGACACTGATTGATTCACTTAAATATTTGTTTATATTTCATATAGAATATCTGCATATTTATATCACTTTTTTCATTACATTGTCAATTAGTTACTCATCTCAAACACCACAGTAGTGTTTGACATCGCGAATGCTCAGTTACTGACTTCTAGTCAAGATTTTTATGGTTGAATGGACATTTTTGTTTTTGTTACAAGTCGAAAAGAGAGTATTGTAGAAAAATGTGTCAGAGATGGAGAAAAGAAGAAAATGGAGTAAAAATTTAAGAGAAGGTATACATCGCAGTGACTGTTAAGGCCCATGAGTTCACAAACTTTTCCGACATGTGTTTGTCATAAAATTAGACAAAGGCGTCTGAAGGATTCGACTGCATTGAAGTAAACTGATACATTTCTAGTCGAGTTCAATAGAATTTTTCTGAGAAAGAGAAATATATTTTGAATCGTTTCGAGTTCAATTTTCGTTTCAGTCTTGAGATTTTGGTATAATGAAACTAAATTGTTATTCATGTAAAAACAGAAAAATATGTCTTTGAGTTCATATTCTGTCGACATACAATAGATTATCAATAGTTAAATGATTAGCGGTGGCTCGGGACCCTTTCTTAGTAAGAAAAAGGTCGATTTCGTTTACACTGTTCGGTCGCACATGTCTCTTAATAATTCGAGACGACTGATGAAATACTTTCGTTTCCCTAAAAATGTTTTCCGTTTTTCCCAAACCCCTTTCTTTTGCACAATTAACAGAAAGATATAGTTTTAACTTGGGAATCTCATCTTGTTGGAAAACTTTTTTCTCTCAGTCTGATAACGAAATTGTTTATTAGGAGATTTCACGATCTTTAAAATTGACAAGAGAATATTTTCTTGAATCAAGTAAACCTGCTTTATCAAAAGTAGTTTTTTCTCTCGAAGTACGATGGAATCTATCTGGGCTTTACAACCGCAGGGAAGGGTCAACAAAACATTAGTTCGCATCACGTCAATTACCCCGTACACATACGAAGCATGAGTAAAACATCTCCTTACTGGCTAATGAGGAAGAATAATCCCGCTTATGCCCCGTTTAATAATGTGTTAGGGCTGGGAGCAGGTCTCTTTTAGGTCTCCATCAAGAATTCTGTAGAGACCCGAAAGAGATCTCATACTTCGACTCAGGAGATGAAATCACTAAGCAGTCATAATTTGTGTTCTGATACGGATTATCAAAACCAAAATTTGCTCGATGAGAGGAAATTTAGCTTTTAGTCTTCGATATTAGCTTCTGCCATTTAGTATCGATTGCGAACTTCATGGAGGTGGACGTGAAAATTAGTAGCTCGCAGTTCCATGAATAATGAAGTGGATAATTATCCCAAGTTGTATGAGTATCAACCCGCAGAAAGATCTAACGTCAAAGGTGAGAGTTTATAACTCTCAAAGATCAGCTTCGCAATGTTTTTATTACTCTCGATTTTTGGGTTACCCAAAAGATTTGTCGTTCACACGGAAGAAAAAGGTTAATAGAAAAACCTAGCGAATTCGCAGGACAATTCAGTTTTTGGCCGATTCTATTGA